ATTTTCTTTTATCTTTCATTGACTTCTTTCTTGAGAAACCATCCTAATGTTCATTTTCACAAAGAAACATTCTATGCCTATGGAAAGATGATTGCTTAAAGACCCACTGACTTATTGAGCTCTCATAAGGTTCTTTATTTTCCTGTGGCCTTTCTGAGACAGTTTTGGCAGATGTGAACTATTGTGTTCCTACAGAGAAGTGTTACAGCTGAAAACTAATGGTGATCATTTTCACATCAGTTGATTGTTTCACAGGCGATTATTTAGGTAGAGAAATCTGGCTAATTTCTTATTCTAAATCTCACCAAGTTCAAATAGAAGAATGATCTGGGGAAACGTTGCAGTGTTCAGCATTTTTGAAGTTTTATTAAAAAGTTGGGGGTTTATTCTCATTCTAAGTTTTAATGAGAGGGAAGAGTGAAAATACAGAGGAGTGAGTTCTTGAGAGAATGATAGGACAGCTTTTGGGAAGCAAAAGGATGTTAAATATACACTGTGTGAAACAATTTCCATTTCATTAAGAAAAAAGATGAAGGTTGACACAGGAGGTGCAGACTGTGTTTCCTTTAGTTAGAAAAGCCCTTTGGTTATCAAGGAGCTTAATACAAAGCACGCCAGGAGACTTTCACTTCAGTGGTATTAGATTCAGAGATCCTTCATAACTTGGAACTGTGATAAGAAATACTGAGTGAGTTCACCCACAGACCTGCTGCTCCTGTTAGGAAAGTTCTGGCCTTCTTCGTGCTCCTCAGGCATGGGAAGTGATATCTTGTTGCCACTGTGTTCTCTTGGGGTAAAGGCATTCTCCTGGGTAGGGCCCTTACTAGCATTTATGTTAGCATGAGCTACAACTGCACACCGTTTGCCAAATAAAAGATAAAAATAGTTGACAATTCAGCTCTACCATCTCAATTTCTGATCTCCCTGTGCCGCTTTATTTCTTCTAATCTGTTTGGCAATCATGAGTATTCTTTTTGTCTTTCCTGCTCAGCTTGCTTATTTGTCTTATTTTCTTTGTCCTTAGGCACACATAGTTTGTAGCTGTGCAACTCTGCCAGTTTAGTGGGGCTAGTCCTAACCTACCTCTGATGTGGGAATAAGCTGATTGAAGCACACTGCTTTATTCATACTGCTCTGCTGGCCACAGCTTTTCTTTTCTCTAGGTGAGCTGGAAGAGGCAGCTCCCTTTCCACTTCAAGTTTGGCATCAGAGTTCCATTTTGGCTCTCTTTCCACTACGGACCGCCATTCATATGCTTCTTGTTACCATCTGCACAGTTCGTTTATAAAATTAAATTAAAGTAGTAAACAAAATACCAGATACTCCGCCTAAAGCTCCATCTATAAATATCTCCCCTGCCTACTCATGCTTTCTGATTAAGGGGCAGTAAGCAGTTATTTAGAGAACCTAAACCAAGTCAGATTCCATCAAGATAGGCAGTTTTTTTAAAATGGGGGTATTCTGTTTAGCTCTGTTTCATAGGTAAAAAGCCCAGCTCTCTCAAAATGCACACTAATGAAGTTGAAGCCCTCTATTTTGACATTTTCAGAATTAAAAAATTAGATTTTTCATTCTGATTTTTTTTTTTATCCAAAATGAGCTAACATAACCTACCCAAAGTGGATTCTGAAGTACTTGCCCCTTATAGAAAAATGTGGGTTTGTTCCTATTTGTAATTAACTTGAATTCTTTTGATCTCTCAGACTAGCTGAGAGATACTATGGTTGTAGCTGTTGGTTCATTGGAACAATTATGACATTTTTGTTTTATTTGTTTGGTTACGAAAGTACTAAGTTTACCTGTGTACCAAGTAAACATGAAAAAATGAACAGTACCTTTGCAGCAGCGGCTAGAAAAGCAGTAGCTGCTGAGCAAATCCAGTTATTTTATGAAAAAGAATTAATAACCTTCTTTCAGAATTCTAGAAAATCTTTGTAGATTTCCCTTTGTTTTCCAGGCATGGATCTGACCCCAGCCCTAATCCACAGCGTGATCAGATACTCTTTATCATCATAATGCCTCAGTTGTTTTTTTTCATGGCACAGGCACTCTGGCCTGTGTTAAAGGATGAAGGCCAACAAATAATATATGGCTTTTAATGAGTACCTCCCTGTATGAAGTCATCAGTACCCGTAAGGCTCACCTATACTGCACAGTGGGGAGTGGTGCCATACCATCTGACTTTATCCCCTTAGATCCCCAGACAAGGCAGTGTCGTGGAAGGGCACGAAGTTGTCTGGAATGACTCACCTCTAATGAGGTAGTGCATAAAAGGTCACAGGTCTTGTCAGTGCAGAGAGCTCTTTGCACAGGAGACAGCTCCGGTTCAGAGCATTACAGCTTTACATGTATACTTCTGAGACTTTACTGACTTCTTCCTGTTTTTCCTCTAGAAACTTCTTGCGTGGTCTGTATAGTGAATAAAAAGAAATGGTTTAGCTGACTTCAAAGGCTTAAATAGTCATTTAGGTGATTGAAATTGGACATGTATCACAAACCACAGATGACTATCCAGCTATAAAAATAAACCACACAAATTACACCAGCATTCATGTAATGTGTACATACATGAAATATTTTGTTTTGTAATTGCTATTTGATATTGTCTGAGAGTATCCTAAGTGAATGGTCGTCTGCACTTGAGCAAAAAAGTCTAGGCAGAGCATTCATCAACATTTGCTTCATTATATAGATGGAAATGTTGTAGCAACCTTGAGAATATTTGCATTGAGCAGGTGAAAAGCATGTGGTTCTGACTTTGCTGCTTAGATCTGGAATTTGATTTTTAGACTGTTTATCTTACAGTATGTACATCAGTCTTTGGACGTTTAGCTTGCTTTGACTGCATGAAATGTGTTACAATCCTCTGCTGAATTCCAGTTTGCAGCCTTAGTGCTGCATTTATGAAGGGTTTTTTTGAGCTGATGGGTAGGTATTAGCTGTGCATGTATGCATATTCTTCTAAATTGCCTAGACTTTTGTTGCATGTGTTGGCGACGTGGACAGTGGGTTTGAGTGCACCCTCAGCAAGTTTGCCAACGACACCAAGCTGTGTGGAGCGGTGAACATGCTGGAGGGAAGGGATGCCATCCAGAGGGACCTGGACAGGCTTGAGAGGTGGGCCTGTGTGAACCTCAAGAATTGAACAAGGCCAAGTGCAAGGTCCTGCACATGTGTCAGGTCAAACCCATGCACAAATACAGGCTGGGCAGAGGATGGATTGAGAGCAGCCCTGAGGAGAAGGACTTGGGGGTGTTGGTTGATGAGCCAGCAATGTGCACTCGCAGCCCAGACAGCCAACTAACTGCATCCGGGGCTGCATCAAAAGCAGCATGGCCAGCAGGTCGAGGGAGGTGATTCTGCCCCTCTACTCCGCTCTGGTGAGACCCCACCTAGAGTATTGTGTCCACCTCTGGGGCCCTGCCATAAGAAGGACCTGGACCTGTTGGAGCAAGTCTAGAGGAGGGTGATGAAGATGATTGGAGGGCTGGAGCACCTCTCCTATGAGGAAAGGCTGAGAGAGTTGGGGTTGTTCAGCCTAGAGAAGAGAAGGCTCTGGGGAGACCTTACAGCAGCCTTCCAGTACTTAAAAGGGGCCTACAGGAAAGCTGGAGAGGAACTTTTTTACCAAGGAATAGAGTGATAGGACGATGAGTAATGGTTTTAAACTGAGAGAGGGTAGAATTAGATTAGCTATTAGTAAGAAATTTTTCACTCTGAGAGTGGTGAGGCACTGGAACAGGCTGCCCAGAGAAGTTGTGGATGTCCCATCCCTAGAAATGTTCAAGGCCAGGTTGGATGGAGCTTTGGGTAACCTGGTCTAGTGGGACCTGTCCCTGCCCATGGCAGGGGGCTTGGAACTAGGTGATCTTCAAGGTCCCTTCCAACCCAAACCATTCTATGATTCTGTGACTTATGGGATAGAAGGCAACTTGGCAGAAAGCAGAGCTTTATTTAGCAATACAAAGTGGAAAATACGTGCTGCCCAGCTTTTAAATATTCTGGTTATTATTCACATTGGCTTAGAGACCTATGGTTGCCTTTACTGAACACAGCTCTCCCTTATATCTGACTTTGTCTTTTATGGCTTCCAAAAGCTCAGCTTTGGTGAGCATTTTCTTTTTGTAAGGAAGGTTCGAATTGTATCCAGTGTGGACACTGCTAGAGAGGATGACCTTGGCTGATGATAGGTACAGTCATTAATGACAGGCTAGATGAAGAACATAGTAAACTTGCCAATTCCCAGAAGAAACATTGTCGCCAGGGCAACTGAAATGATATGCCACGGGAGATAGGGGACATGCTTGCCAGGGTGCTTGATATCAGTGCTATCATTTCAGATTTTACCCTGTGGAAAGCACGGGTAAATGGTTGCTGTCACACATTTATAAAGTTATTGGTTCCACGGACATTTGAATGCGCTTTTTGGTGCCTCCTTTTGGGATATACTGAGCCTGTTTCCTGGACGAAAAGCATACATGTTGCTTTTCTAAATTGTTCTGCCATAGTTTCAGGTTTGACTCCAGACCCAATGTCCACTGCAAATTGTTTCATTTCTTGGGTGTCCTTGTCTGTGCTGGCTCTTGTGATCCTTAATCTGAAAAGGAAAGTGGGAAATGACTCAGGGGTCCACACAGACATCAGACTAGTGCTAAACAATGTCAGACTACATTAGCAAATCATAGATGGGTCTTGAGAAGTAGAAATATATGTCAGTAGGAGAAAAAAAAAAAAAAAGACAGACGGGTATTGTATCAAATTGGAAGGAAAGACAGAGAAACAGAGGAGCGGACAGTAATTTTGGGGCAGAGTTCTTACGGGAGGTGAGTTCCCCCGGTCAGCCTTCCCCTCTTGCAGGCAGTACCGCTGCCCTGTCCAGAAGCAGCGCCGCGGCTGGCGCGGTGCTTTTTCACGTGACAGCCCGGCGGGGATAATAAGCCGCAGCAATGAGCCGCGCTGGGCTTCTCCGGAGGGTCAGCCACAGGGACCTACAGCAGCAGAGAAAGGGAAGGAGGGCAGGAGAGAGAGGGAAGGAAGGTCACCACAAGGCAGCACCTACCTGACAGTTTCAGCCTCTGCTCTCAGCAAGTCATCAATATTCACTCCCTGTCACCTTGGAAAAAGAAAAAAAGAAAGAAAAAAGGCACTGCTACCTACAACCCATCAGCAAGTAAACTAAGCTTAAAAATATATATCTATTTAAACATAGTAGAAGCCACAGCAGCTGAAGCTGATCCCTGGGTAGTATGAATAGCATGAACCAGATAGAAACAAACATGCAGTACACCTACAACTATGAAGAAGATGAGTACATGACCCAAGAAGAAGAATGGGACAGGGACCTGCTCCTGGACCCAGCATGGGAGAAACAGCAAAGGAAGGTCTGGAAATAAAGTAATGTGTGTCTGTATATGTGCTTCTGTGTTGAATGATGTCCTGTCGTATTGCCATCCTGCATCTGGAAGTGCCAGGGCTGTGCAGTAAGGGCTTCTAATTTTGTAAGAGAATATATTTTACATCATATAAAGCATATATATAATATGTATTAGCTATACTATATTTTGAGGATAAAGCATTCACTTTTTGGATTCTTAAGTGAAACCTATGTGAGGTGAAAGTAATTTATGAGACCCAGGAGTTTCTTTTTATATTGCACTGGAAATATTCTGTCAGTACCTCTAGATTTATATATTAGTATTTCAGTAATTTTTAACTTCACTTCCTGGGTCTTCCTTCTGGAAAGCAGACTCTCAATGCGTGTGCCTGATTGCTTTTCAAAACCAGTAAATTGCAATTATAAAATGGGAAAAGAATAAGATGGTTCAAAATTGATGTGCAAAAAAAGTTTGAAATACTTCTGAGAGCAGACTGATAAATCACTTTTGAAATTGTGATCTTGCTAGTCAGCTCTTATTAGAATTTACTCTTAATTCTGACTGAATGATCTGACAAGGAAAATATTGCCTATAAATATATCTAAGCTAGATTTGGAAAACTGTGTTTCATGATTAGGTTCCCACATGCCAATTCACTGTCTGGGAAAAAATGGGTCTGTAAACTCCTGGGAATATGCAATTGTAGAGGAAATGCTTCTTGCCTTTTAGGTGTAAGAAAACTATTATGCCGGCAAGCACTGCTCATGCTCTTTTTCTGAACACAGGCAGAGGTTATAATCCCATCAGCAGCCTTGTCAATGATTTGGTACTTTAGTAATATTTGCAATATCTAATTTCAGAACACTGAGTTTTAAGCAGCATATGGAAAAGAGAGGGATGAAATATTGTAAAGGTTTTGTTACTTCCTAATGTAAAAAGTGATGTTGAAGTCACAGCTGACAGATCTGGGATTAAAAGGTTATCTGCTGGTTACAAGAATGAAAAAAAAAAAAGGAAGGGGGGAGAGATAGAGAAACGATGCTCTAGACAATAAGGTTGAATATGCTTTTTGCTATAGGTGAGCAGTTCACTTCAAAAACTTAAGAAGTCGCTAACTTATATCTGATGACAGAGTCTGGCCCACTGTTACAGTCACAGCCTCTATAAAAGCTATACTATAAAAGTAGGAGCTGTTAGTATTGTTGGAGCCAGTGGGTTTGCTTTTCCATTAAAATCGGTAGAGCAAATATTTTCCTCTCAATTTTTACTTGTATCCTTCCTCCTTCTGTGAGTTTGAGCTGGGTTTGTTCATTTTCCTATGTTCGTTTTCCTACATTCACACCTGTTTGTATCTGGGTGTACAAGTATAGTGGGAGAAGTTCTGGGCTAGGTTGAAGTTCACTTTTCTTGATCTGCCAGCTGCTGCATCTCCTGACCAATTATTAAACTATACTTATCAACACGGACATTTGTTTTAATTTGATGCTCTTTACAGGGTGAACTATTCTGTTATGTCTTATGAGAATGGAAATTATGTTAGGGCTTTAGTGATTTGAAACTGCTCAGCCATAACAGGTCATGGTTACATCTGATTAGGATTCAATTGTCCAGCATTTCAGAGAATGCTGTTTTCAAAATAAAGAAATAATGGACAGGTTGCTAGATAGTCAGTGCTCTAATGCAGTTTTCCTACAATACAGGTAAATGATTTAAAAAAAAAAAAAAAGAGAATTTGGATTCTGTAGGATTTCTTATGTTTACAGTAAGTCTCTTGACTTTCACAGAAGGGCAGGGTGTAGTTATTATAAGACCCCATAGCAAATTTTTTGTTTCCATTCCTCCAAACAGCGCTTCAGCAGAAAGTCAGGTTTCCACGTTTATAAAATTAAGCCAACTCTGCTTTACTTCCATAGAGTAGAGAGACTGTGGCTTTGCTACTCTGTGTTGCCAGTTCCCAGGGCTTAGTTTTAATATTAAAATGATACCACATTTAAATAAAATTCTAGGAGAGGGGGTCTTCTTTCCTTGTCTCGGAAAGGAGCCTGAATTTATTATTGCATGAAAAATAAGTACTCTCATGAAAAAGGGCCTGATAAACTTTATAAAATTTCAAGGCTTCTGTCTTTTTCTAATTGGTGCTAGGACAGTTGCAGAAAGTGTTTGCTTTATTTCCTTGTTTATTAGGAGAAGATTGCAGATACACGGGCACAGATCTTTGTTCTAACTGGTAATATAACATTGAAAAGTGATCTCAGTGGAGTCGTGGCAGTTGGCACCATATATTTTCTGTTAGACAGTCTTGGAACAAACCGAAAATAAATGCCATTGTTTCTATTATGGGCTGCCCTCTCCAGACTTGCCATTTCAGTGATATGCCTGGTATGAGATCTGTCAACAGATGCTGGTAACACATGATGACGTCCATAGGATTACAATGGATGTGACGCCTAATTATAACCATGGTTCATAGAGTATTATGGTCTGCTGTAATCCAGGCTCCTTGCAGATGTCAGAATAAATATGAAGTACACTATAGGAAAGGAAGCTGAGTTGTAGCTTAGCTCTGTCTCTCTGAATGTGAACACCAATTTAAATGCTTTAATTGGGGTAACATTTAGCCTGTGTCAAATCAAGAAATCAAGAAAATACAACAATTTGACCATTTGATGCATTAGACACTACTGATAAAAGCTTAAACAGGATCATATGGTTGGAAATTTCTTTAAAGAAAGACTAAATAACAAATAAAAAATGTATTTTGGATGGACACGCTGTCTTCAATAGGAACTAACTAGAGAACTACAGCCTTGGTGTCTTGAATGTGTAGGTGGGAACCATGAGATTGGAAACGTTGGAAGTCTGCTCCTTGACCCAGTACTGGCCACTGCACTTAAAGAGCAGTTGAAAGGTCTATGAAAGCGGCCCCTAGTTTCTTCAGTACTACACAGGAATAAAGAAGTATTGGAAATCAAAAAGTCTGGCCAGAGGGGGTGGGATTCTCTTCCTTAGTCTGCTCTGTAACCTTAGGCAATATCAGGTCACCTCAGACTTTGGTTTTCCCACTGGTAAAAAGAGGACAGCAGCGGTATTTGTAACAACTGCTAGAAGTGGTTGGTTCTATGGTATGTCAGATGGGTAATTAGCTGTTGTTCAGTCCCTCCCCTGCTGGACTGAGTGGAAGTAAAACTCGTAGTAGCTCATAGCAGAAGACTTAGAACCTGATTTCTCTTATCTCCATGATAAATTTATTTCTTAAGTTTCCAAAAAAAGTTCAAAAAACTCCACAAACCTTTTAGTTTTCACTAGCCTGTATCTCAATATAACTAGAAGGAACATAGGAAAATGCAGCGTCCCTTAGCTTAGGAAACCAAGCACAACAATGCCACTCAAAATGCAAGCATTGTGTTGTTTGCAAGGTGTTTGAACTGCCAGCATGTCTTAGTGAGCTGTGCGTTAAACGGTGCTCTTTCTTATTTGTAATTTTTGCTATAAATACTTTATTATAGGAATGTGCTTTTTTTAAACTCTGACATGAAATGTGGTTTGTTAGTTTTTCAAGGAAGGCTTAGGCCTTCAGGATAAAGATCTGAAGGTTGTGAAACAGGTATGATCCCTTCTTCAGGACAGTTGTATTGTAAAGCACTAAATTGGCTCCATATATTTCATCTATATCTTCCCCAGTCATTCAGACATGTCTCTGACGCTTGCACTAACACATGTAAGGAAAGAACTGGAAACATACTCCTTCCTTATTGCTGTTATTAGAGATGAATGATCTTATTCTAGCTTGCTGTTATGGCCCTGATACCACCACCTCCTTAATGAAGAAGGGTTTGAGTGTAGGTGTCCATGCAATTTCTGACGATTTTGTTGTTTTTTTACAGTAGTATTGAATAAACAAGAAGACTCAGAGTATTTATTTATCTTGATATTGTACTCTTTGTGAATGCAAATCTTCTTGATGATACTGAACACTGTGTGTGAGCGAGGACTTTGGAAAAGGTTCTTTAGGAAAGAAGCTGTGTCTTTCAGTCTTTAGCAGTACATATCAGATTACATTTTCAGTGTGACCTATAAGGATTTGTCTGCATTACCTCCTTTGGCTGGTAATACGACTGCTGTTGACCTTACAAATAAAAAAATGCATTTGGAAGCCACATGTCTGGCAAATTATTTGGAAGAAGCTACAAGGACTGTGAATTATGGACAGCATCCTTTTTCTAGTGTTGCTGCAACTTCAGTAAGTTCAGCAGATTTGAGAGGTTCATTGCAGCCTGAAAGAGAAATTGACCTTATGTTCAGTCTGACTTCAGTGTCTATAAATAGAGTTGCAGTCAGTGTCCCACATTCACTCTGAAGTGTGGTCTTCTATGAACGGAATCTAAATTGATTTCTTATCAGAAACCTCTTCCTGGAAGAAGTCTGCTGTTGAGTGATAAGACAAATGAAGTAGTGGAAGCTTAATTCTTCAACCAGGAAGAGGAGAGAAATAACCAAGCCTGAATGAATGAAAAATAAATGTAAGGCAGAAAAGTGTTGGCAGGAAAGGCTGGATGCCACCAGCAAAATTCAGTACTGTTGAACCACTCCTCATGGATTTACAGGCTCTGGATTGAATCCATCCATCCCATCAGGGTTTTTAATCAGGTGACACTTTTTACCCACGTGGAATAGCAGTGGGATTTTTGAGAAGGCACAGAGATTCCCCTCTGCAAGTGGGCAACGTGAACAGGGTCTGGATGAGAACCAGTGAATGTAGGAGGTGTGAGGGAGGCAAAAGGTACACTCATTCCTAAGAGAGTATCAGCGTCCTCAGTATTTATTCCTAGTACTTACCTGTTAACAGTTGGGTATTTCTTATAAAGATGGGGGTCCTGAGTTCAGTAGCTTTAGGACTAATTTCAGAAGGGGATTTAATTTATTAAGAGGAAAATCCTCCAGAGTCGAAAGCAGAATGATAGTCAGTGGAAAAATCATGTGCTATACCGAGTCCTACACTGCAATTC